ACAGAGAACGGGGTAGCAGGACATCCTGGTAAATCTAAACGGCTATCACCAAGGGATTATATATGTATCAGAGCAGTGTAAAACAGATTTTTTTTAAAAGAGTAACGAATGGACTTTCTTGCTCGTTCTTCTCCACTCGAATCGACATTTTAGAACGAGCGCCTAGCTTCACTGACGGACAGACTGACAGACTATTATTTATTTCATATTTGTTACGTTTCAAAAGTACCAAATTATGGTTTAATTGAAATAAATGCTTCTGAGTTTGAGTTTGATTATGGGCAACCTTCTTATGTAGGAGAGGCAATTCTCACGTAGGCTGTTGATGATGATGGTGATGGTGATGACAATGTGAGAGAAATATTCTCTATCACACTACAAGGTAGACATAAGCCTTCGATGACTAGAAAATGCAAATGGTCGAAAAATATTAATGTACAAAATATTGATCTGAATAATTTTGAGTTAGATATCACAGAGAAAGAACGTAAGTAGCCTCTGGGTACTCATTGTAGCAAATGTGATGATGTGAGTTTAAACTAAGCTATTTTAAGTAAGAGTAAGATCCCAGTATTTCTTAAATAATCACTTCATATCACGACATTGGCAATGTAATCGCTTAAAGTCGACCTTAAAATGGTTCCTTTTTCTGCTTCCATTGAATGTGTACGTGATTACCTTACATGATGACTGTAAAAGGAAGTGCATAAGGATGAAAGACAACTAATAATATTATTAGTCAAACTTCCTACTTTAGAATATGATAACATCAATCATGATAACATTACTTATTACTCTTTGATGGGTTAACAAATGAATGAAGTAAAAGTAGAATGATGTATTCTTCCAGGGATGCCCTAGAGATACGTTCATCCGGGGACAATTTCGTAAATTAATCACTTATTATTTTACTTTATCTAACTAACAAAGTTTTACTTACCTGTATCCATAATTTTCAACAGCAAATATGTAATTTGTACTATGCCACATGCTGCCAAAAGCAAGCATTCCTAACAGAAATATTAACTTTAAATGATAACGTCCAAATATTTTCAATTCACGCAGAACACTTTCTAAATCCATCACTGTTTCTTTTGAATTATTTTCACTATTCACAGAAGATTCCATATTTCCTTCTTCTACTAGTTTATCTTCATTTTTTTCTTTACATCTTGTTCCTTCTTTTTCATTATTTGCTTCTGTTTTATGTTTTGATTTTACATCTTCTTCTTTATCGTTTTTCATCTTAACTGTTGCGTCTATAAGTGTTATTTTTGCGGTGGGTAGCGTGACACTAGTTCATTTCATTGTTTTGAGTTCGCTTAGTGTATTGGATAGAGGACAGTATGTGTTTTTATTACGGCTAGTTGAATAATATGCGGCTGGTACTGAAGTCACGTGTTCTAGAGGCTGAACTCGAATCATTTAACGACAATTTCAGAAAACCTTGAGCAATTTGCCACTTCACAGAGTACTTGTGTTTAATACTTCATTATAAACTACTTAGCATTTTTTTACGTATTTCTATTATTAGGAAGTGTTTAGTTTAAAACTTTCGTGATGTCATGTAAACAGTTGATCTGTGAATGAAGCACTCTGTTGGTTTCGTTGTTGTGAATACCATTATTATTTAATCAAATCACTATGGGCCGACAATGACGTATGATTCAAGGATCGGTTTAAAAGGAGTGTAGATTCGTTTGGCGAATGAAATAAATGATATTATGTTCTACAAAATTCTTGTACTATTATTATAGTAAAATAACTTTGTGTTCAAGTGGAACGAAGTATAGCCATGTAAAATTACCTACACGTGTTTGCGTCACTTGTTTAAACATTGTTCGGTATGTATGTATGCATGTTTAAAATCCTATACATAAGGCAATAATTTGTCTTAGTTAAAGTTATATTGTTTTACGAGTTGACAATAATATTTCTAGCTAATTGATATTTTACTCACATTAGGAGAGGCCTTTTAAGAGTTAGATTACTTCGGACGTCAGTAAGAAGAATTTTTTTTTTAAATGCGTTGCCTCACTCTTGCGTTTTCTCCTGTGTCGTGGGAGCGTTTACAAACATACAAGTTCATATACACATGACACCCAGACCCGGAACAACAATATGTGGATCACACAATCATTTGGCAAAGAATTGATTAATGTTTCTATTTCGAAGACGTTAAATGATTTTCCCCCCTTAAAAGGCATTTGCATCATGATGTTTAAAAACAAAAAGTTTTGTTTCGGTGATTTTTCTTCAGTAAATAGTACAATATCAAACAAGGAGATTCATGTTTTAAACATTGTTGTTTCTATAACCATTGCTGGCAACAACTGGCATGTTCAATTGTAGATGCCATCATTTGCCTATGTAAACATTATTGTATAACAATTGAATAGTCATAACAAATTCGCAGGTGCACTAAGCCTTATACCATAGTGATAGAAAGTCATAAGTGACAGTATCGTGGACTTTCCTTAAACTGTCAAATACCAAGCGGTCACCGGTGACCGCGACCCATTGTTCTTTAATTGTGTCTATAAAACCGGTACTCGACGAGTTAAACCCCTATGTATAAGATTGGTTATGGCAGCTGTGTTGAGTCATATAATGAGTAATGAGGAAAAAATTAGATAATATTTTTATATGATTGAACATTTCTATGAAAATAGATTGAAGAAAAGTAAAAATAATCTTTGATCATTCATAAATGAAAAGGAATTCTTGCGTTTGACAAATATCGGCCCGCAGTGTTCCGCGATATAAACCTAAACCACTCTTATATAATCGCAACGTGCAAACGTGGATGTAATAGGAAGAAAACGAGGCCTATAGTCCAGTAGAGGACTGTCATTTTTGATGATAATTTATTGAATGTTAATAAGTATCAGTTCGACGAACTTATTAGTTACCAAGAAATATTAATAACAATAAATAGTATAAAATCTTTTTCCAGGATAGGAAGAAAGAAAATGATAGTATTCACTGGAGTCATGGGTGGTGTCTTGGGCCTCGCCAGGAGTGTCACAGTGTCCTACTGGACTTACGTAGCAATTGAGCTCATGGAGGCATTCTCTGGAGACACGTAGTCACCGAACTATATGTTGGGTGAGTACGTGTTTTTTTTCTTCTGTCCTCTTTAACTTTTTTTATTGAATTTGAGATCTATGTCCTTCTTAATTTTTCCAGGTGTAGAAATGGTGACCAAAGAAAACCGAGCCCTATTTGCTCCTTTAATGATAGCATCCATGTCTATATCAGGAATCATAATGGCACTGGCCGCCTGGTTAGTCCCCTATTGGAGGCACTTCTTAAGAGTCATCTACACTCCAGCTCTAATCTTCATTCTTTACGCGGAGTGATACCACAGCCTCACAGAAAACCGATGTGAAGCAACGCTTGCGTTGTGTTTCGTCGTGTGAGTGAAGTTACCGGAGGCCCAATTACCCTCCTCTTCCACAATCTCCCCAATTCCTGAATCCCCAACGATCCTCAAACTCCTAATCCTCAAAAGGCCGGTAACGCACTTGTAACGCCTCTGGTGTTCCAGGTGTCCATGGGCGACGCCGATTGCTTACCATCAGGAGATCCGTCTGCTCGTTTACCGGGTTATGCCATAAAAAAAACCAGTTGGCAACGTTTTTCCCACAATTGGTTGAGGTCAATAATGCACTTCAGATTTATTTATTTATTATTGTTATGTTAACACGGCTTTACACACACAATTACATTGACACACAAAAAAAATGTATTGAATACAATCTTAAAAAAAAACTGAAGGAATAAGAACAGAAAGAGAGAGAGAAATAAGAAAAAAAAAATATAGTAGAAAAGAAATACATACCTGCGAATAAAGTTCTAAATCTACAATCCACATTTACTAAACAATTACACTTTTACTATATTCTAACACTAAGATATGTTACAAAAGTATTATGTGACAGTAGAGCTCATATTATGTATCTACTTAATTTGTAAAGAAATAGAATTAATACGGATGATTAGAAACTTGTATTGTGTGAAAATAGGGTAGATACTTAATTTTTGTTTTAATGTCCGTCTTGTACATTATTTAAAATCATTAGACACGTATTTTTTATTTTCTTACAGAAACTAATACTTTCGACGATATATTGATTGGAAATGTTGCGTGACGTCACTTCTATGTACATTTTATACGTAGAAATGACGTCTTAGCCCCCACTCCTAAACTTTAATTCGTTTTATCTAAGTATTGTATTATTATACGACAAAATAAAAAATACGTGTCTAATATTGTTTCATTAGCTAACTTACGGACTAATTAGATTTTTAATTTTCATACCCTGTCATCATCCCAATTCTCCTATGTCCTCAGAAAACATCATAGAAAAGTTCGATGCTTAAAATTCTTAAATTTAGGAAAACTTTGATAGTGGAGTTTGATTGTCGAGAAAGATTTTTTGGGTTTAATTGCCAGGTTAGGTAATGTGTTATTCGGTTTATGATTAAATGTATTGAGCTGGGTATATGGTAGTGGGCTCATCTCATATTGTATGGAGTTCATACAGAACACTACTTATTGACTTCGTTGGCCGAGTGGTCGCAAGTGCGGGCGATGGGTCTTGGGTTCGATTTCCGGGTCGGGCAAAGTATTACTGGTTTTTTTTAATGCTCAGTAGTAGCACGGAGTCTGGAATTGTGCCCGGTATATGGCAATAGGCTCACCCCTTATTATGGGATTCATAACATAAATCGTGAAAAGTGGGTCTCTGCCTACCCCTTCGGGGATAAAAGGCGTGATGTTATGTGTTTGTTATTTTGAAAATGAAAGAAATTGATAAAAATACGTCAAGATGTTTTAATTTTTACTTTGTACCATGTCTAGTCATTTAATTAAAAATTACTTTAACACCATTTAAATGCACATAAGGCATTAGTATAATACAGCTTAGCTTACATTTAAGATTGGCCACTATCATTGAAATTGCGTAAAAGATTATCAATATTAATTCTTTCATTTATTCTGCAGCACCAGCGGCTTCTGCTTGGCGGACGGTGTCAGGGAGTACATCATCAGCTGTGTCAGGTAGTGTGATGACGATGATTCCAGTCATCAGCGAAAGACCACCGACCAGGATAGAAGGGAGTCCGTAGAAATGTCGCATCTGTAATGTGGTATTGGATCAGTACATAAAATAAAATTTTCTTCAGTGTGTGACCGAACCGACCGACCGACAGAAACCCTTTTCAGTTATATTTATTTTTTTGGGGTAAAATCATCCAATAACTTCATCCACCTTGGGTGAGGCAAGAGGGAGTGTCAGACTCTTACTGACTAAACATTATCCCGTTCCTTCTTCTGCACTTCGAGCCCACCACCACTACCACCGCGTACGTTCGGGTTTGGGTCTGGTTTCGGTCGGGTGGTGAGTGCTCGGCGTCCGCCAGACATTGCTTACGGTGGCCGGAGATCGTCTCGCTATCATTCATTCTTATCTATTCATATTCATTTTTATAGACGTATTGTCCCACCCTAGTATTTTCTGCTTTACGGTAGTGAGTTTACAACTGTTATTTCACCTACATATCACACCCAGACCAGGAACAACAGATAGACTTGATTGGTGTGCATTAGTTATTTAAGATAGAACTTTGTTTCCTTACCATAAGTGGAGTCTGTGACGCCACCAGAGTAGCAGTTCTTCCTAATGATGAGCACAACGCATGCATTGTGTTTCTCGTGTGTGTGGGGAATAATTCTGACGTGTATAAGTAGACGATAGCAAGAGATATGGTTGCCATGAATCGTCCTACCAGGAACAGAGATATTGATAGTATTATGTTACCTGAAAAGAAAGAGAAGGACGACTTTATAAATTAATCTTCGGTTTTAAGAAAAGTCATGTAAGGTTTTACTGTCGTATTCAGAGACATTTAATGATAACTTAAACTATACCTTAGTAAAGGATTTTGTTCAGAAAACTATTGCTAAGGACTGGGTTAAATAACCATAAAATTGTTCATAGTACGGCCGAATACTGAGAGGTTATTAAATTTGAAATTATACTTAATATCGTGCCATCTCTGTCATTTGACAAAGAATTTGTAGAGACAGAATTATACTTAAGCGTGACTTAAAATAGATACTAGTATTTGGACATAAAAGTGTTTAATTGTTGGAAGAAGTGTGTATAATTGTATAGATTAAGAAAGTGGTATTTGTAAACCTTTTCTCTTTTGTAAATTAATGCTGACATACTGGACCATGGAAAACTCTTTTCCTATTATCCATTAGCATTTCAACAATAATGAATTATGAGTTAATTACGAAAGGGAGCATAATAAGTGTATTTACTCAAAATAAAGTTTACTGTTAAAACGCGAATTACCTTTCGGCACAAAAGACTGTCCAATACAAAAAACTCCAGTCAACAGAAATGTAAACATCAAAGGTATTCTTCTCTTATATCTGTTCAGCAGGAATACTATGGCGAAACTAGCTGGAAGTTCAGAGAACGAGGTCAAAGCGTAGTTGATGTACTTATTCCCTTCTAGTTCTACTGAGTTTATTAGTAAAGTGTACTTGTTGAACAGGCCAGTGACCCACATGCAGACACACGCTGTAAACCGAAACACCAATTTCCTCGACCCAACCGTCACTTTAAGAAGGTCCATCCAATTTGTTGCTTCAACCTCCTTCTCACATACTATGTTATCTAAGTCGACATCACTTAAGTCAATATTGGATACTTTAGCTGCTCTGATTATCACATCCTTAGCTTCTTCCTTGCGTCCTTTGATTAATAACCATCTGAGACTCTCATCCAGCAGAAAAGCGAATAATAAAAATAGCAAGGACGGTGCATAAATTACTCTGAGGAAATATCTCCAGTAGGGAACTGCCCAGGCTATGAGAGCCATCAATATTCCTGCTATCGACGTGCTTGCTGTCATTAGCGTGATGAATGAAACTCGATTCTCTTTTGTTACCATTTCTACACCTGCAAAGATGTTTGCTTTTAGTAGTTTAAGACGTTGTCATTTACTTTGAAGTGAATTCATAAATCTTGAGCTCGCTTTTTGAAGTGATCTTTAATATTTATGAATCAACACAAGTATTCGTGTTAAGTTTGAATTTTTGATACTTGTTTAATACGTGTAAATAAACAAGAAGATTATTCTTGAAGAGAGATTTTAAATAAATGCATTTTTCTTTAACAAAATTTATGTTGATGTCATTTTATTTACAGCCTAGTGAATGTGTTGTAATTGTGATTTGTTGTCTAAAATATTTTTTGTGAATATGTTTTTATATTGCAAAAAACATTATACACGTAAATGCATTTATTCCTGGCCTTACTATGGTGTATAAGTCAGAAAAAAAACCATTCTATGACGTCTGATTCCACCCCTATTAACAAATTGACTTCGTTACTTACCCAACATAAATGTACATGAGTAAGTATCTCCAAACAAAGCCTCGACCAGCTCCAAAACGATGTACAGCCAGTAAACCTCCGCTATACTCTTAGCAAGTCCCATAAACGCTGCTATAGTTCCCGTCAAAATTATCAGTTTCTTTCTACCGATCCTGGAACAAACATCTACTTAAAGAATGTTTAATCTTTATTGTTTTCTGTTCATAGAAGAAGCATACTTAAAGTTATGATACATAAACTGCTTTTTACTGTAAATGAGGATTGTAATTTGATACTTTGAAATTGAATCTAAGGTCTATTGTCAGGGATTTGTTATGGAGTTCGTAGTTTAGATAAAAAAATCAGGAAAGAATTTTATACATAATAATAGTTCGTTAGTCACTAGTCATACAATAATATTGAAAATATGTAATTGTTTAGAAAATTCATTTTCCCATCGGTTTTATGAAAGTATGTAATGTATGTATGTATGTAACATACATACATTACATCACGCCGCCTGTCTCCTATGGATATTATTCGCTACGATTCTTACATACCACTTTTGCTTCATCAACAGTCATCAGTCTTTTCATGCATGCTCGTCGGTTAAGGGTACTTTAATTTGGCCCTTCTTTAATATATCGCCGTTATGAATGTTAATCTATGGAAATGTGATAATAGGAACAAATGTGTTTGAAAGTTATGAAATAGTTGGGTTTTAATTGTAACAGATTAGGGTTGGATTTTTCCACAACGAATTCAAGAACCGAGAAAATTGGCGGGAACGCGGAGCGTCTTCGAACACGCTCACTCACTCAACGTTTCGGCGGCGACTGTTGGCGCGAGCGCGGGGCCCGCTCGAGTGAGGCGTGGGCGGGGCTTCGAATTTTGAATTTTAGCGCGTACACGAATTCAATACGTTACCACCATTTTTCTTATCGCGCTACGAAGGAGGTTTTTAACATAAGAGTTGCCTACATTAGTTCTTACTTGTCAGCGAGAGGTCCCATCATAAGTAGTCCGATCATGTAGCCGAAGCTGTGTATCATTCCTGGGAATGTGCGCTTCCAATCTGAGCAGCCCAGATTGTGCTAAAATAACAAAACAGAACATAACCTCGTTTTGAAAAAAGGAATTTAAGAGAAGTTTAATTTTTAGGAGTCACATTGCTTAAACAGTTTGGTCTTTTTGGAAAACTCTTTGCTAGATTGATATGACTTGTCGTCGGTGATATTTCCGAACTGATACGACCTTCAAACTTAAAAGAAAAGTTTAGTTACTTTTTAAAAGGCCGGCAACCTGTGATTTCTTTCGTGCTGTGAGTAGCCATACGGGTCGCACTGATCGCTTACCATCAGTTGATCCGTCTTGCCTAAAAAAAAATAACTATTAAAAGTTAAAGACAATCTTATATAAGATACATACTTCTCCAACAAAGGAATTCTCATCTTTGTACACAAATTCGTCACAGATTTCTAAATCCTCATTACTGGATATGTCAGCGTTGCCCAAAGAACAGGTACCATTGTTTGATATCAGTTGTAATTGGTAACACCCGTACTTATGTAGAGTGGGCTCTAAAGTGTCTGGAAGAGTTATGTCTTCACATTGTGTATATTTACATCTGTGGGGGAGAAGTATGGATGGTTTTAGTTAAATGTTAAAGCAAGATATTGCACTGAAAATATAGAACAGTTCGAAATCCAGTGTACCTAACAGATATTGAGCAAAGCAAAAAAAAGCACTCTGGTGTTGCGGGTGTCCATGGGCGGCGCTGAACGCTTGCCATCAGGTGAACTGTCCACTCGTTTGCCTCCTATTCCATAAAAAAAATATTATATTAATTGTTAAAGTGCATAAAACACCATTTCCTACATAAGGTCTGCCTTATGTTGAGAAAATATGATAGTCAGGTTAGAGATCGATGTTTTAAAGGTTCAGGTTTACCAGAGAGAAGTTCCTCTTCTACACTGCTATGATTAGGTTTAGGTTTAGGATATCTTTATTTCTCATAAAGAATCACATACATAATTCGCTTACTGAGAAACAATATTTCACACAGAAGTAAGCAATTTATGATAAGGCATAGGTACTATTAAAATTTCTACTGTAATTATTCTACTGTAATGTTATACTAATATTTCACCTACCTATAATTAGTATTTGGCATAGTATGATAAGGCTTAGGTACTATTAAAATTTCTACTGTAATTATTCTACTGTAAAATTATACTAATATTTCACCCACCTATAATTAGTATTTGAAGCAGCAAACACATAGTTGACACTGTAAAACGCATGTGTCGCCGCAGCAAAGACGATCACAGAGAAAAATTTAAGATAATAAGGACTTAACAAACTGAATTTAGCCAATATGTCTTCAATAGTCACTCTTTGAACAGCTACCATTTTAAAATATACACTTTAATTTCCTAAATTTTCAATGCTACGTAAATAAGAAAATAAGTCTAATTTGTATTTAAAAGATAATACACGAATGTAGCATCGTCTTGAATTCCAAATACTTTATGTAAATTAGCTGTTTACAGACGGTATCTATATGTAAATTTTGTTTTTTGTAATTGTAAAAATGGGGTTTAATTCGTTGTCGATAAGAACTAGTTTACGTGGTTAGGTTTACTTTGTTTTTTTTGAAGTATGACATTCAAGTGTTAGTTATTAGGTTTATTAAGGTGGTTATATTATAACTTTCGTTAGACATAGTAAATTAATTATTATGTTTTTCGGCGTACTGATGTAATTATTTGAAAAGGAACTCGCTCCACTAGTTTCACGTCATGCTAGAGCCTCATCTTCATGAGCAGCATGACACGATTGTCGATTGTCGCGTTGGTACTGAGTAGAAAGTAGGAGGAGTCTTGTTCGTCGTCAAATAATGACGTGATTAAGCCGAAAAACATAATAATTAATTATTAAGGTGGTTAAAAATTATCAATTATAATCATTCCTAACCACCTATCTGCACCTATTAGAAAAAAATATACATCGATATTTTTAAACACTATTTAAAGTGTTCATAATTTCTCTTTTAAAAAACTCACAGCAATTCACAAACCTAATACACAAAAACGTTAACCAATACTTATTTCGTACAAAAAATAAATTGCTCACAAATACGTACAGGCGCTAAAGACTTATTATGCAATTAGAAATTCTAATTATTCAACGCAAACCGAGACTATTATGAGAAAAGTTGTGGCTTTGAGTACTAAGTTGTTGATGCCTAACACAAATACCTATAGAGGTCACACTGGGAGGTCAGTTTACACTGCACTCAGTAACTTCGCATTGAAATAATTACCTCTATTTTAATTTAAAAATTTAAATTAGCATTTGAATTACTTGTTCGTTAGAAGTTCGATTTTAGGTATGGAACAATATATACGGAGCCGGTCATGAGTATGGACGCTAAATGGAACGCTAGCGCGCCACCTAGCGGATTTCTGGTGCGCTTAGGCAGAGTCGTGGTGTCAGAGTCGCACTTAGCGGAGCTCACTTCAGTTCGAGTTTCCACCGAGTGAAGACGTTGTCACGGAACTGCACTACGTTTCGCTTAGTGGCCAGTTACTGTATCTTGTGATTATAAGAAACTCAGTGATTAATTCTAAATGCTTTTCTTATTTACAAGATACTCAAATTCGCCCACATTATGTAACGCAAACGGAAGTTTGCTCAGACATAATGCAATGAATAATCCTGCCTCCACTGACATATACTTATTGTATAGAGTAATAACATGTTTTAGTAATAACAAGTTATAGTAATAACTTTTATAGTCGAAATCTCAAAAGTCCGTCACTTCACTACCAAACAGAAAGTTCATCTTCATACGAACAAAATTAAAAATAGTAACAATTTACTATTTTAATCACAATTCTACATTTGCTGAACGTTTAATAGTGGACGGCATAGATCAAATACCCAGTTTACGACTATCAGTCGACAGATTGGATATTAAAATAAAATATATGTGAAGCAAGATTACCTAAATTGCTTTCATCTACAATCCATACTGATTTGAATCTGTAAATTGGATCGCTTTGCTCTTTGGGCTAATGAGGGCCTAATTGGATGGCTCAGTGCCTGTTCTAATTGCTTTAGCGATTAAAGTTCATTGTCATGCAACGTATGGCATGGACCAAGATGGCTGTTTTTTTGCAAAACGTAAGATTGATGTCAGCTCTGAGAATTTATTGCGTTGCTAACGACTGTGGTGTTGGCTAAATGTAACTGCAATTCTGTAATTAAGATTTCCTTATTTGAAACCTTTTACTTGATTCTGAAGCTGAGCAAAGTATTATTGCGATATAGCCTACTTCTCTCTTTAATTCTTTATTTATTTATTTACATTTCTAGTATACAATGGCGGACTTAATGCCTAGTGGCATTCTCTAATAGTCAACCTTAGGGTGATGCAGAGAGACACAATAGTAGGTGTAAAAGTTTAACACTTTATGATAGTGCAGTAACATAAACCACTTGAATATGATGACTTGAATATGAGACACAATTGAAAATACATTGAGTCTCGCATAGATCCAAGTTTGGACACACGAAAGGTCAAAGTCCTGCGTCACAATGATTCTTATAACGCAACCAATATTTTTTTGGAGAAGTTCATTGTAATAACTTCAAATCCAACTAAACAAAACACATTCGCTACCAATAACCTACAGACACAGAAGTAAAAGCAATCAATGTTCATGCGTAACTTCAAAATAAGACGAACTCATTATGGCGGTTGAGAAAATCCTGGCAATTTCCTGCGAGGCCATCGGAGCAAAACATATAGAACTGATAAAAGAACAGATCAATTCAATTCTCAATACAAAACCGCTTTATAGGAACGGCAAAGATGAGACGGGATCGTTGTAAGGCACAATGTCGGTGATGACGTGGGTTACTGAATGGCGCGCCGCGTGCTTCTAACCTCTACCATTGGAATACCGCTGTTTGAATAAAAAGAATCTATCTTTTATAATATAATTTAGTTCGTTAATTTTATATGTTTTATGTCCAACCGTCTTATGTAGCGGAAGCCCGTAGTTCAGCGGTGAACGACAGTCCATTGAAATCTTTAGATAATTAGGTATTTTTATTTACAAATAATAAACTTAAATAACATAACTAATAACTAATATTTGTCCGC